TTGATGATGATGCGGTCCATCTCGTTATGGAACTGCCCATCAGGTGACTCCCAAGTCCAACGGAGGTGAGAGGGCTTCTGGAACTGTGAGTTACCATGGATAGTGTTGGTCGACATGATAAACTCCGACAGTCTCTCACCCTGCTCATTCCATTCCATTTTCGTGAGTACCGAGGTGAAGTTCTTCAGCCGTTCTCGGGCCAATCTTAGCGTTGTAGCAGCCGACGATGACCTCGAAGAAGGTATGATCTTCCCTGTAGAACTTCGCCAATTCCATATAGAATGGTTCGTGTTCCCCCTCGTCGTAGCTGGATGTTGGTGCGTAGGCGACGAAGATTGTCAAAGCAGGAGTTGATCCACATCTTCTCAATCTCAAACGTCCGACTCGGGTCGTTTGACTTTCGTAATCGATGTTCATGGCTAAGTGCGTGTTGACGAGGACACCTACACCGCCAACGCCTCTGCTGTCGCATGCTCCGATGAACAATTCTTCTCCAGAATCAAAAACGGTGTGTAGCGAGGGGTGCCTTCTCGTCTCGGTCAGTCCGATGACGTCGTACTTGATCTTCCTGACTTGCATCATCAGGTCTTCGATGTGAGCTTCGGATGCAAGCGTCCTTGCGTTGAAAGTACAGATCACCATCTCAGTCCTTCTTCGTTTAGGCAGCAGGGTCAAGCGTGCGTTGAGGAATCCTCGACACGTCGCAGGGGGGGGTGGGTCGTATGGCCGCTGCGGAAGAGAATCCGATCCAATTTTGGTGAGTGACACACCTGGAGTACAAACGCAGGATGATCGATGCAGGCCAGAGGATTCCAATGAAAAGATATTCCCCCCACAAAATTTCGTGGATTCTGAGCGCCCGTAATTCTTAGTTACTTTCACGTGTTATCACCACACAAGTGGAGAATCTGACTTGCGACGCTTCCAAAAATATTTCATCTTTCAAGTAAGACCGCCGATCTGAATGGATGGAGTACACGGCGGCACCAGAAAGGGTCTAGTCGTTGCGCCGCGCTCAACACGCGCTCGCTTGACAAACAACCTCAATCAAAAACAATCGAGACGAATTCCGGCTGTGTCCCTCGCATCTACAGAGTGTAACACCAATCAACCCTGCGAACGACTCTCAGGTAAATTATAAACATGAACCTTTCGAACACGTAAGAAACGCTAACAAAACAGAAAAAAAAAAATATCACTTTCCTTAGAAGAAAAAGCCCATGAGCTCCAACTGCTCACTTAAACATACGCCTCAAAGGCCTACCCCGTTAAATAGTGCAATGTACGCAAGGCCTTCGCGGACTCGTGCGCAAATCCCACTACCGTTTGTAATACTAGCGTTGAAGCATTCTAACACAATGTATAGAGCAAATCTTCTAGTTCTCTACCAGGCACGCTCCATTTGCATAACGGATTTGAAAACGGAAGTATACCGCATTACGGAAAATAAATAAACCACACTCATCACCAATTTCCTCGTTAAATTGCAGAAATACCTGAACGTGCCATCTTGAATACTGACGATAAAGCTGCATATTAGCACCGTTAGTAAGAAAATCTCTCCAGTTACTGTACGACGTACAACTTGAATGATCGAAAGAGCAAATATGCTCCGAAAGGTAAAAGCCCGCTCCCGTTAGCTCAAATTTTCCTGCGTTATTGCACACATCAAGTAATGTCTTATAAACTTCCTGTAATTTCAGTACTGATTAGAAGAAGCCTTCACAAACATTCCTAAATCTGCTTGTCAGATTGAAAATCGTCATATTGAAAAAGTAAACAAGTTTATTGAAATGATTCAAGTCAATTCGAAATAAGCTCGCTCCACGTTACGCCAAGTCCATCAACACAGCAGCTGCGAATCGGTCAAAAGCTTCTTACTGAAAGGGCTACGCAAATTGAAACCCCACAATCTGGACTACTAAATTTAAAATCCTTGAGGAAAAAATAAAGAAGATATTTTAAATCTGCCATAATTAGTCAATTTAGTTTTGCTGTCGTATATCCGCCGTTGGTAGACTCATCATAAAGGATTAAATCTTTGACCTTTCCTTAATTCTAAGCGAATTTTTGTGGCGGTGGGTGCAGGGCATTTACTGCCACATTTTGGAGATCAAAACAAGCTTCAACACCTTTTCATAAGTTCGGCTTTTGAAGAGGTGTTCATGACCTCGCCTCCGCGAGGGGTGGGGTCATATTTCCAAATTTCCCTCAACGCCTCGCGTGACCCTGTTAGGCAGCCTATCCGGGCCCTGAGATTCTATCAGCCTCTCCCGAGCGATCCTACCCAATGCTGCCGTATTGAGGGCTCCCTCAGTTTTAGGGGAATGGGGCCCATCCAGAGTGTTGTTTTCGGCATATTAAGGCACACGAGTAGCCAGGCTCTGTCGTGTGGGCTAGGATAAACCTCCAGGTAATTAGTTACGCTATCCTGGAACGGAAAAAGGAGCTTGGTTTTTGGGGGCGGCCCCAAAACGCCTCCCATGTACTTACCAGTCACTAGAATGCGAGCTTTTGGCTGTGCCGACATGCAGGAGACACACATGCACATACACAGAGCGCACCACACACACGCAAGCATGCATGGATACACCTGAGTAGAGACAGCTGGCATGACTTAACACAGCACTGCAGAAACAGGGATTCCATCTCCTGAATCCACCTCCAATCCATCTCAGGGCGAGTACATGGTGGCTTCTGTTCCGCGATTTACCCCCTATCCGCCACCTTGGGTTGCGCCACGTAGCTTCGCCACCAACTGTCTAGAGATCTTTCAATGAGAGAGGACCCTCAGTGAAAGAGATCCGTGGTCTAAGTTATCATCTAATATGATCCACAAGATTATATTAGATGATAACTTAGACCTGCTCCCTCCTAGAAATGTTAACTCTTGATTTTTGTAATCGATCCTCTTGCCTCCACTCGTGCCAACTATAACACTTAACGGAATGGCGGAGAGTGTGCTATGTCGTTTATGCAGCAGTTGAGAGCGGTATCACAGTCACAACATCTTGTACACATTGGCAGACTTTGAGTTCCTCTGGGAGCGTTTAGAGTTGGCGATTACATGTTATTAAAGGAAAAGTATGCGTATTGATGAGGCGATCAAGCGAGTAGGCGAGTACGGGATTAGGACGCTCAATGGGCGAGCAGCTAATCAACACATATTTTTTCTCTTATCTTCTCTATTTATTATCAGGTTGGGTGAAATTTATCCGCCATTTTTTTGAGGTACGTGGCGCTTCTATTTATTGCTGATTATTTCGAGGATTGTGAAGTTATTTGAAAGCGCGCAGATCTGTTGTACATTTTGGTGTGCAACACTTGTGTATGTACACTCTCTTTCATGCAGCCAGAAACCCACTTGGCGCACGTGGCTAAATCTCGATGAAACGGTGGAAAATCACGTGTGCTCAAGATGTTCTTGAATCGAATTTCTGCAATGGCGCAATTTCTGGTCATTTGAAGGCGAGGGTATATGCTTGACTATGGCGCTAAGACGCGAGCAAAAAAGATAGCTCATGTTACGTGGGAACAACTTTAGGCCGATGTCACAGTTTGTGAATCGAGCGATTCGCTAGCGAATGGAACGTTGCACCACCGAATCGAACTTGGCGCCAGCGAGTCGAACGATGTACCAGCGAGTCGAACTAGGTACCAGCGACTCAATCGTTGCAGGACCCAACGTTCAAGGGAAGCCCGCCACTTTCAAGCAGTGTCACGTGACAGTGGACGCTGTTTGAAAGTGGCGGGCTTTCTTTAAACGTTAGGTCCCGCCACTATTGAGTCGCCGGTACCTAGTTCGACTCGCTGGCGCCAAGTTCGATTCGTTGGTGCAACGTTCGATTCGCTCACGCAACGCTCGGATCCAGCGATTCGCTAGCGAATCGCTCGATTCACAAACTATGACATTGGCCTTAGCTCGAAAGCGAACGCTGCTGCTCTGCTCATAGGAGCAATGAGACCTGGCGTGAGGGCTCCGTTGCGCAGAGGACTGTTTCGATAATTAATCACTGGTTGTTGGTTTGCTCGGCTTTGTTAATAAACTTATGTGTGAAAGGAAAGGTATCAAGGCAATTGTGAACTCACTGAGGAGTCTCTTCGCTTTCGTGATTTTTTACTCATCTCGACTCTTTCTACGTACTGCCGCTGCAAAGCGATATTCATCTTTGCCATGCTATTCATACCTATTCTAACAGAAGATATTTGCATATTCAAGCAAGAGTTATGTCACCTGTACGGTTGAAGTGGTGTATAACTCACGTTGTATGGGTTGAGCCGTCCCGGTGTGTGTATTGAATTTCTAACCACTTTAGTATTAGTTAGCTTCGTTTTGTTACTGTTATTTTTCGATGCAGTTCGCCCATCCTATGCTTGTTCGCGACCCATCAACGAGGTGCTGTCACTCGAGCAATCCCGTATCCACCCACGCTTAGCGCTGAAGGCACAACCCATATTGGGCTCGTGTGGCGAATTTGGCCACGGATAAGGCAGCCGTATCCGCAGTTTGGAGGACTGCTCACCTTGCACGACTCAAAGCTCACAGAAAATGTGCTAGGGTCCATGGACCTGACCTTACCATGGATCACGGAAGCCCACAGCGTGGCGGCTGTGCATAGCTCCCAGAATGCTTTTTCACTTCGGTCTATGTAATGGTTATTTATCCTTTTTTCTTCACTAACCGAGGTCTAATTCGTTCTACGCCCATTGATTCCCCAAGCCTTGAATTGAACACTTTCCTCCTTCAGAATGTTCGTTTCGCTCTGCGACTACCTCGCTGGGAAGACCTGCTGAACACGAAAGAAGTGCCGACGACTTTTCACCCTACATTCTCACTTTTCCACAATCTCATCAATACCCAAGAAGAGTCCATTGAAGCACTTTGACGGGAATGAATAAAAAAGTTGCTGGCGCATGCTCAAATTCGATGAATAGATAGAACAGGTGAGCTTGCAAGAATGATACTGTGTAAATAATAAAATACGCAGCAATTAACTCACCAGCGCGTTCACCTGCGGGACGCTGCAGTTAGATGTTAAGTTGACGAAAGTCTTCAAGACTTCTTCTGATGACCAAAGTTCCTAGATTTCAACTTAAATTTTATTGATGTGGCGATTACGTCCGACCCTTTCAATTCATTTACCTCACTCTCACGCACACTGCTGCTGTCATGTACATTGACATTAGTACTAATAATTATTAGGCTTTCCCTTAAAGGCAAATTTAGGGTTTAGATTCACTTAACAAGCCCCTACCGTGGCTAGGAGTGCTAGGTACACAAGTGCGAAGGTTGCGTCACCTTCCTATACCAACTACATCACTAACGCTAAGACGCTAGGCGCCAAGAATTTCTGACAGACTCCACCAAACTTAACATGGCCCGCCCACCATTTGATATCTTGTCTGCGTCGCTAACTTGATCTGCTATTTCTGCCCGAACTTCTCTACCACTACCCCTACTTTCAATATAAATATTTCAAATATTCAAATATATTATTATATTATATAATATTCTTTCAAATATTTGAGTTGAATTACTACACAATTTTAATCCTGGTTCTCGCCTTCAAGAAATGTTCTTATTCAAGCAAAAATATTTCAATAAAAGCCGTGTTTTCTTATCAAGTTTGAATTTTAGACCTACGAATTGGGAGGCCCACTCAAGGAGAAAAGGCAAAACCGACAACTAGCCCTGCTTCTATTTTACAGGTAGGGCTAGTTGTCAATTAAATACACCCTCTTTGACTCTTTCTAGCGCTGCGGCACAACTGCGCCGCAATGGAATGTTGCCATCCCATAGCGAATCTTAGTGGTGAAGACAACGGCTAGCTGGCAGTCCGTCTTGTCGTCTGCACTTCTCCGCATCCACACTATCTCACCAGTACGACGCAACCTTTCCGTCTGCGCTCTCGCCACTTTTCCGTCTGCGCTCTAGCCACGTCTGCCGATCAATCGAAATTTATCAGCTGTTTAGAACTGAATATAACTAATTCCTGTTAATATTCTCAACTGCGCGCTTCTTTTCCACGGATGAGTGAGTCTCAAATATGTAATCGCTTCTGCATAATTTTTGATTGATTTTATGTCAACCATTTCCTCATCAGCAGCAATTTTGCTTAATTCCTTCTTTTTTTTCATTTTTTTTCTCCTTCGATTTACATCGTCTTTCATGATAGTGCCTGTCAAGAAGTGTTCCGACAATAATGGAAAGTCTAAAAGACACACCATGAAGAACGAGTTCAATTAATCAAACAAGAAAAATAAAAATAAAAACATAAATAAAAATACTTGCTACTAATGGACAATAGTTGACATAAAATCAATCAGAACACTTACAGAAGCAAATTATCATGTTTAAAACTACTTACCTGTGAAAGAGATGCGTGTTCGAAGAAGTTGAATTCTGCTCAAAACAGCTGATAAATTTCGATTGAACGACCGTGGCGAGAGCGCAGATGGAAAGGCTGCGGCGTACTGCTAAGATAGTGTGCATGCGGAGAAATGCATACGGCAGGACGCATCACTCAGACACCACTCAATCACTGGGAGACGGCAACCTTCCATCCCCGCGTTGTCGCGGCCGCAGCGCTGGTACGTCCGTGGGACCGCCTCTCTCAACCGGCCGGATATGGACTGTACAGGGGTGGCCAAAAAAAAGAGACACCTCACGCCACATTCAAAACGGAGTTATTTACGCGTTGCAAGACAAAGTCAAATCACCCCAACTAAATATTAAAGAGCACGTTATAATCTATTAACAAGCTACACAACGGCCTTCTACACAGATGACATCAGAAGATTTTCCTACAGAAGCATTGCGCATGGTACGAGCTCAACGAGGTCGCTGAGGTACCATAGACGATTACGACGTCTCTCAAACGCTGGTCAAAAGCGATTTTGCATAGTCACATCTGATGTCTCAAGAAGCTATTCAACAGTTCATCCATTGAAGATATTATGTGGCAGCTTTAGGTCGGAGCGATTACGGTAAGCCTCGGTGAGCTCGACCGCGACGGCAGATGACGTCATATTCTGAAGACGGCGGGGGCAGTGAAGGAGGGTCTGCTTCTGTGAACGGGGGAACAGCTAAGGGATATTCCGCCGAAAACTTTGATTAACATCAGCTCCCTGTGCGACGAAAAGTTCGATGGTGTGCGCTATGAGCTAAGTGTCTCTTTTTTTGGCCACCTCTGGAGCCAATTTTTGCTTAGAAAGATGGACTCAAAGCATTTTCCGAAGATGCGTCACGTACTCGACCTTGTGCACTAGATTGCGAGATTATTTGAAGCTTTTTTCTTTCAAGCTTCCATGATTTCTATTTCACTACAAGGAGCTGAATGGTGAGACGTGCAGTCTCTGCGCCCGAAATCCCGTTCTCTTGAGTTTGAACGAAAATCTTAGATCAGTTTTCTGATTAGCAGTCTCATTTCGTGACATTTCTCAATTTTCCAAGCGACTTTTTGGAGAAACCTGAGAAGAAAGCGACGAAATCTCTTCTGCTACCTACACTACGCTTTCTTTTCTGTAGGAAATATGCGACGCACTTGGTCGCAGGTGAGCGCTATTCCCGTGGAATGGTCCCAAACGTCACTCCTCGTCATGTCCTTGTAGAAAGATCTGGCTCCTTGCTTTTCCATGTGAGCCTTTGAGGTGAGATGTGTACTGTTAGATTCCCCATGAAAATACTATCGAATGATATGCAACTCTGCCCATACTCTAAACTTTCGTTTTTTACTGTTTTCAGCCATTTCCTTACTGCCTACCGACATCTTCAGCCCATGCCGGCCACGTGCGATTCACGTGCGCGGTGCGTGAGACCGTTTCCACCACTGTTGACCGCCCGTTGCGCAAAGAACAACGAGGGGGTCGTATTCGGCCGTACAAAAAGGGAGGGGTCGTATCCAGAAAGACGGGGCTGCAATGGTGCTTCAAAAGTGCACTGTCCGGCAGTGCACTTTCACGCTCTAATGTTCTCCAGGAGCTCCGCACAGTGCGGCTGTCGGAGAGTCACACAGACAAGAGCGCCATGGGAGCATTAGAGTATGCAGAGCATTATAAGTCTCACTATCAGCCTTTATTATCCTTAATACACGTACGGCGCTTTCGCTCGACAAGATAGATCAAGATTACAATTGCCAAAAACTTTGTTACAGTGTAGTGCAAAAACATGGTCTGTCTTCGATGATCGAACATTACTGGAATCCCGAGGAGAACCAAGTGTAGAGCACTTCATTGGGAGTGAAACAAGTGTACCATATAACAGTACAATACGATGCTAATACCTTCTTCATTGGAATAGAGGACATTCAAAGGCGAGTGCGACTTCTAACCACAGACTGGTGCACGGCGCAACCCGAACAGGCGTTCTCTCATGGAACGCCTTCTCTGACAGCGGCCGTGAGCAGACAAACCTTCTGAAGAGAATTTCGATGCTTTCAAATTGATTTAAGCGGAACAAAGTGTAACGAACTTGCTGAATTGACTTCTAGAGACTCCTCAAGAATATCGAGGGAATAGGAGAATTTCAGGAAATAGTCACATCCACACATCATACACACCCATCATAAAGTACTCTTCAGGTAGATTCTGACGGTCTCTACCGCTTTTCATCACATCAAATTTGGAGGAAGTTATGGGCCTTTGAAGACTGCGTAGTAGCGGTCCACGGAAATGGCTTGAAAAAAATCAAGGGAACAAAAACGGAACAAAGGCATTATTTTTTGAGAGAGGGATCGTTGGAAAAAGGTGAGGTACTCGTTTGAAAGCTCTGATCATCTATAATAGTTCAGCCTTGGACATCTGCAAAAAGTTGAGTATGAAGAAAGTTATGAATGTTTGAATGTTGAAAACTCGCGTGTGCACAAAAAAAACGGAACAACGGGACGATTTTTGAAATACAGAAGATCCGCAGCATTTCAGATACCTTTTAGGGAAAAAAACTATTAGAAATTCTAAAATTTTGGTGTCCGGTTCCATGAGACTGCTTCTGAAGAAAAATATAAACTTCTGAATGGAGAGGCTTGGATTGCAACGTAATTGCTACAAGGTTTAGATTTTTCATATTATAAAGTAAGGAAAATTGAGATGATGAAGATCGAAAAAAAAACTTGGCAGGTATTTGAGAGTAGAAATCTTTGTGATTATTATCATGTATTGGTTCACCCAAAAATTTGGAAATTCCATCTATTTGAAGAATAAAACTTCAAGTTGTCTCGATTCCCTCCTCTGAGCGAGACAAAGCGCGCAGATTGACCATGGTCCACCATTTCTCCATGTCGGTGACTGTCCATACATCAGTGTTGAGAATTAAATTATGTGAAAGACATAATAGATAATCCGGGGGGGGTCGTAAAATTTCTGGAATTTGCGCAACGCAGGGTTGACCCTGGTTCCCACGCTCCATTGAACGGCCATAATCAGGTATCGATCGGACTGCCGCCAGCTACGAAGGAAGGTCGTCGGCCGTCATGTGAGCTCTCAGTAAGGAAAAGGCTGAAGACGGTGAAAAAGCAAAGTTTAGAGTATGGGTAGTGTTGCATAGGTTCGATAGAGCTTTTCATGGGGAATCTAGCAGTACACATCTCACTTTCAAAGGCTAACATGGAAAAGCGGAAAACATTGATCTTTCTACAAGAGTATGGCGAGGAGCGAGGTTTAGGACCATTCCACGGTAGCTTTATCCTGCGACAAAGCGCGTCACATATTTCCTACAGACAAATAAGCGTAGTGTAGGCGAGTGAAGAGACTTTGTCGCTATCCTCTCAGGTTCCTCCAAAAAGTCTCTTGGAAAATTAGGAAATGCCACGAAATGAGACTGCTGGTCTTGCTGAAAACTGACCTAAGATTCTCGTTCGACTCGAGAGAATGGGATTTTGGGCGCAGAGACTACACGTCAGCTTCTTGATTCAGCTCCTTGAAGTGAAATAGAAATCGAGTGAAATTGAAAAAAAAGTTTCAAGTAATCTCGCAATTTAGTGCACAAAGCCGAGTACGTGGCGCATTCTGGGACAATGCTCTAAGCCCATCTTTCTACCAAGCGATGAGGCTCCACCAGTGCGATTACGCATCACATCCAATCAGTTATTTCTCAACATGAAACTCGAGTGAATGGCGCAATCCTATTTACAGCTTTCCCAGAGTTTCAGAGAATATTCTTATAGTGTCCGACGAGTTGAGTTCTCTTTGAATTGAGTTATCTTTGAATTCTCGAAAGCTCAACTTTGAACAGAAGTTTTAACGAATCCACGACATTCACGAATGGCGGGATTCGCGCGGATTTTCGATTTCAAGCTGCGAGTACTGAGTACAAATTGATATGAAAAAATGGAACTATCGTAGAAAAATTTTTGTTTAAATGAAATGCTACTTAAAATGATACTTACTGGACAACCTAATACTATGAAATTTGAAAAAATTCTTACCACGGCAACGATTACGATACGACGCTACCCCACTCCCTTTTTTTATACGGCCCTCGTCCTCTCCATACACTCTCGCTCTAGACGAGCTCGTGAGCAAAATAGGGGACGTGTAGACTGACTGTGATTATTGGGATCGAATGCAGCGATTGAACAAACTCGGCGAAACAACTGGAGTGCTCATTTTGGCCACCGTGCCAAAACGATCTTAGCGAGTCAACTTGAAAGCAAAAAGGTCACATCAAAGAAACTATCACGCAAAACAGATGAAATGCCCGGAGGTCAAGCAAAAAATACAAAAGAAAATCAAGAAACCGTCAAGAGCGATCATGAATTCAGTGAGCTTCGAAACAGTTGATTCGAGTCGAGACATTTCGAGACACAGACATGCCCGCCTTGTTCCACATAAGCAACGCACACGCAGTCCTATCGCGCTCGTGACGCCGCCACGGCCTCAGCCACGCTTAGAACTTGTTAAGCAGCAACGGGTACACTCCCCCCCCCCCCAACTGATGTCCCCATCCGGTCATCCGGTGGGCATATCCCTCCTCCTCATCCTTCTTCAACACCCATTTCGCAAGACCATCCGGGTCCCATGCAGAAGCTGTGTGTACCTGTGATAATGCTGTACCAGAGCAATTTTCGAGTTATATCACTTCGAGATATTCATGACGCCTCTTCCACAATACATGCATATGTCTGTGAGTTTAGTTTGAAGGATCTTTGATGAGCTCGTATATTACATTGCCAAGAAAATTTCGTCACACTTCTTGTAAATAAGCTATACTCATGTTGTGTCATTCTAATACGCTTGGCACGAGGCAGAGCACGGCAGTTCGATATCTGGCGGGGTTCGGCATTCGGGCGTGGTCTTCAGACTTGCCCAATTTAGGTGAAGAGTTGGGTTGGCGGAAACCATTAGGCGGAAGGAAGATGTACGGGCTGCACAGAGAACGAGCAAGTATTGTTCACCTCAAAGACATGAGCTCCTAAATCAAAGAATGCCATGAAATGTTCGATCTGGCACTGTCATGTTGGGAGCAGACTTTTTGAACGAATAGTTCGCTTTCATCGATACTATTCCAGAGCGTCTCAAACTATTGCAATGAGATATCGGCAGATAGCAAAACAGAAACTCGGACATCACCTCTTTTCAAGTCTTCTGTTACAATCTAACAGATATGAAGTTTCTTGAAAATACGACTCACTTGGACAGTTGCATTGTCAGATGATCGCTTCGAGATATGAGACCCCTTGAGTACCTCATTTTCAGCAAGCTTGGCTCCACAAGACACAGCTGCTTCGTATTTGCTAATGTACTCATCACTCACTGCAATGTAGTGATGCATTATAAGTATTTTGTACGTTGAGAACTTTTGAAATGGAGAGACTGTCAGAAAAGGTCGAAACGTAGCGTGAAATGTATTAAAGCTGTGGCCGGATATTCTGAGGCTGTAGAATTTTCAGACTTCCCTCAGCGATCTTGGAAATAATCTTCCAAATCCTCATAGTCATCAATAAGAATGGTAGGGTACTCAAACCCATTTTCAGCAGCTCCATTTATTTCAGTGACTTGGCTTCTGGTGTGATATCATTTATCAATTTTATGAATGCTTTTCACAGTTCTAACTTTCTTATGCCATGAAAGGAAAGCCCACACCAGTCCCAGGTTGAAAATAATATAGTTAGGAATCTCTTTGCATCGTCTAAAGGCTGGTACTACTTTATCGTTAAAAAAAAGACGCGCAGAAACGAGATCAAGGATCGTGATATGAAGGAATTTAAAAAGCGATGGAGTGAAACCGTGTTCAGATCAGTATGATTTTACACTCACTGAAGAGTGAAATGAGCCGAATTCAGGGATGAGCTGCCTTGGTTCTGTCGCAATCGCGCCCGTGTTCTTCAACCAGCGTCACGTGCAACCGACACCGAAAGGCGAAGCTTGCTGACGAGAGGATGCGCTGCGGGTCGAGTGAACTTCTAACGCCTTTGTCACGCACTTTCAAGCACAAATCAACGGGCAAAGGGGTCGCATTTCTCGAGTTCTGGGCCGTTGCTCATGGCTTTTCCTCCTTTCTTGTACTATTTACCATCTTTAACATAGTTTGAAATGGGTTGCTATTTCATCATGAAATCTACCTCCAAAGTACCTTCAGAGAGCGGAACATGTCACAATACCTTAGCCTGCAGATGAACGATATGTACGATGGGGCGAATTGAACAGGTTCACAGAAGATGGATATCGCAGTTGGAATGCTGCATGGGTCAAAACTGAGCCTGCTCTTCCTCCTGCTAACCTTGGGCACCACTGGAAAGAAACTCGTAGAAGGATCGCTAAAAATTAGCTCTACGCCCATCACATCGCCCCGATAGCAGCGAAGCGAACGACGAGAATGGTGCAAAAATGCAGATAATAAACTTTGCAGAACGTTAAGAGGACCAGCTTTTGCTGAGCTCAGAAGAGGACACAGAGCCGATCTTGGTAGCAAATGGTAGCGTGAATCAATGCAATACGCATGGAATAGAAAGTGTTCTGGTATCTCATGCGAATGACGATGCTCCGGAGCTCTGGAAGGCAAGGTGTCGCACTGGAAATACTATGCTTTGCGGCAGCGAGAACACGCCAGTGAGCAAGGGCGATGATGAGCAGCTTCACGCCGCAAAAAGGATGGTGAGCTAGGCTTATGGCTGGGCGCGACGTCAAGCTTCGGTTGAGAATGCTTCCGATAAGAAAAAAGTGGAAGGCATGACAAGAATAAAGACTGCATCGACGAGGACGAATGTTATAGAATTGGATTATTTACTGCTATTGTTTATTGAAGTACAGCTCAAGAGTACGGCGTAATTTAATGTCATACCCCAAACAAAAAAACTAAATACCTCGGGGGACGCGTTTGTAGTGTCTTGTTTGGATGGATATCAAGCCTTTCCAAAAGATGATCATGCATAACACTGCCGTTGCTGTGCCGCAGAGCAACACCAAATAACCGCTGACCAATGATCGAGGCCTTCTGCGAGACTTCTACAATTGAATACAATTGTTGGCTCACTCCTCTCTCAAATATTTTGAGCTCACTGCTTCAGCTTCAAGAATAGAAACCAAGAAGTAATATCTGTAATTTCTGAGTTTGAAACTAACGATATAAACTTCAACCGCATCGGTAGACTGCCACAAACCTGCATGCATAGCGGTTGGTGGTTCAACAGATTATGTGTTTTTAAAAAGCCTGCTAGGATTACTTGCTCTTGGGACGCCCTTTAGTTCCCTCTTTGATATGGATACGCTGGCGGATGTCTTGATCTCTCCCTCTCCGCGGTTCATCGCGTGGTTTCTTGGTTAGTTCCCATGCTCTTGTAATATTTATAAAAAAGAATATCAAGAAAGTTCAGAAGGCGAGGTGGTTCTGAATTTCCGCCTTTTCCTCTCCGTTGATCCACCAAGCATCTGCAGCCACTACTACTGGAAGGTGGTCAACGTTGAATGTCATCTCTTATTTTTGTTTCTTGACTGCTGTTTTTGGCTGCAATTCGCCTTGCAAATGATTCACAAGAATGCTGGGTTGTGAACAAAACTTTCGCCCCAGCCGGGACTGAGCCCGCACTTCTCGCTTTACGGGCAAGTGTTAGTGTTGTACACACTAGTTACGCTACCGGGGCACCATTTCATTTCAACTCAGCTTTTATGGTATACTTACCACAGATTGTCAACACTCACACGCATAACGTGTTGAACCGGTTAGCCGATATCGGCAATAACCGCAAGGAAGGCTTTAGCAATGATTTTTTTTTGCTTTGCAAATTGCTTGCTGAAATTGAAAAACGACACGTCTATAGTACTGGTGCCCCGAGTTTCTCTAAAAAACTTAACACGTTGACGACACTGTGATGCGCATGCGCTGCACACCTTGAGCACCGTGTGAGACCGTGTGCAGCGCATGCGCTTCACACCCGAATTGCTTATTTTTTCGCGCATGCCCTAGTTCTTTTCTGTATTTTTTGTAATTATCTTTTAGAACACATCATAGCGTGACCATAAACGGAGTGATGGACCGAAAGGTTGAATATTTTCTACGTTAGCAAAGTTTTTCCAGATTCTACAGGTTCTTCAGTTCGATTCATTCCTCATTTTCTTTCTATTCTGTTGAGAATATAAAAAAGAGCAGAAGAAGAAAGTATATAGGAAACTGAATCCATACGTATGGCAGGATATATGTTTCTAGTGAAGTAATCGCGTCAGAAACATTTTTGATGTTCACTATAGCAAAAACAGCGAAAACTTGCCTTTTCTTTGCCATCACACGTATCTTGATCAAATTTTTTTCAACTGTACCTTCAGATAGGTTTGGCATATCAAAAATCATTGAAAGCATTACGTCACAATCACGTTTTGCATCATTAAAGTTCAAAAATCAAGGATTGGATGTGAGGTGGGGGCGCCTGCGAAATCGCTCTGGTCCCACGCGGCGCAAAAACCCAAAACGCGCGTTGTCGTCAACGTGTTAAACATAATGACGACAAGTTGATGCAGTAACGCGTCCCACTTTGCACACCATGCGGT